AATGTTGCAGGATGACGATATTCTCCTTGAAGCAATGAGATGCTAACGTTTAAATCAGACGGGGTGAAAAAGTGAACCCATCCAAGTGACCAAATATTTTATTGGCAGGCAGGATTTTATTGGACAGGATAATAGCTGACCTAATACCTCTTTCAAGCAACTCTTTGTGATTATTCACACATTGATTGCACTGACGGTTGTGACTAAATATATTGTGCAGCTTTAATTGAAATGATGTTGTGATTTGGAGTAAGCCTTTCATAGTGAGCAATAAATCGATGATTTGCATGATTGAAATTAGAATGGTCATTTCCATTTGGTTAACAGTCATTAAAGAGACGCTCCGCTTTAATTTAATTTTTAAAAAGCAGGCATTTGAGAAATGTTGCAAACATTTGACACCCATTATGAAGTAGTCAGTTTGCCCGTTTTCTCTGTCTAAGCTGAATGATTATTGTTACTTAAAATGCAATTTTGGTACCTGATACTTCAAAATACATTTTAATTATTGCTGTTTCAGTTGTTTTTTTTTTATTTATTTGTTTCAATTTGGATATTTAAAATGTTTTCCTATTCCAGTGTTAAAGATAATTTAGAACTCTTTGACAGGATGTTTGCTTTAATATGCCATTATTGTTATTATTATTAGTTGAAAATGATTTCAAAATGACAATATCATTATTTATTGCAATCATTTCTTAAATGTAAGCAAATATGTTGTGATGAACTTCAGAGAAGGTCAGTTCTATGTGAATAAGTCCTAAAATAATCACATTAAAATAGCTTTCCCTTAAGTGTAAAGTCATTGCTTTAGATGACATTTTTCATAGTTAACATCACAGAAGAATCTTGGAACATTCTTCAGATCCTTCAGTTTTTCACCCATGTTAGGTATTTGCTGGTTTCAAATCCTTAAAACTCAGATATGGCCTGCAGAGATCTAGGAACTTTGGAGTGATGTGAAAATCAAGCTTCAGGGTAATAAGAAGCTAAGTTTAGGAGCCATTCTATTGCACTAGGCTCAACAACGAGGTAGAGGAATTTGAAACATTTTGCCAAGGCTTTGGGAAAGGAGTTGGGGGGGGCGCGATACTGAGAGTTTATGCAAGCATGTGAGCTGGAGGCCTGAGAGGGCACAGGAATGTGGGGTAGAGGTGAGCAAAATGAACCGACGTGGCTCAAAGAAAGCTCGTTTACCGTCTTAAGCTCCTCAGTGAGCTGAGAGCTACACGTCCTCTTATGTCTTGCAGGTCAGGAACTCACTCCGATTTAATATTGCACTTAGGATGTACTAAATTTTTTATTTTTCTTTACTGTGCAGCTCCTGATATTTAATAAGCAAAGAAAGGAAAGTGCCTTATTCAAAACAAATAGCGGTGCATTAAAATAATAGACTGTTGAGTTTTTATTGAATAAACTGCAGTCTGTGAACACACAGTCGTAAAATACCTGCTGGTCCTGATAGTTGAAAAATCTGCTGGCTGTCTGAGGTCTCAGCGGCACAGCCACTGCGCTCAAGTAGCTTTGAAGAACAAAGCCAGAGGGAAAAGAAAAGAGAAGGGAAAAAAAGCGGAAGGCAGTCTTGGCAGAGGCTTTTGCGTGGCCTGTTTCTTTTTCCTTGTGGCCTTAGGGCAGGTTTTGTTCATGCCTTACTGGGTAGGTTAGTATATGGGAAGGGTGTGACAACTAAATTCTAAAGATTCATCTTTCATCCTCTTTGTTAAAGACTGTTCCCCCCAGAAGGAGTTGCGGATAGATTTCCATATGTGCTTTTTCCTTCATTTTTTTACACCATTAAGTACATGTGAACAAGAAAGAAATCTTAGGCTCCCTAAAAAAAATTGTAATCAGATGACTAAAGTCACCTTCTAATTGTTGGAAGTTCAGGATTAAGCAATCATTTGTATTTTGACCTTTTGTATCAAAACTGATCTGTTGTAAAAGTAGAAATATTTCAATAACAATGTATGTCACTGAAATCGTTAAGCTCACAAGTTAATTGTACTCACTAATCCAAATTCACATCTTCACCTGATAAGATTTTTTTTCATAATTTTTCTATTTACGTCTTTTTTATTAACATATAAACTGACATTTTTATGTTTATGTTGGACTCCATTTAAAGTTCTGTCTTACTTCAAATGCTGTTTAACCATCATCACATTATTATCAACCTTGAGTAGCTAAACCAGGATTGGACACGTCAAAACATATTCTGTGACAGCTAGTTCTAGCCTACATTCCTAAATGACATCATACCCTATGCAGTTGCTCTGTCAACTGATCTCCAGCTTGATCTTGACAGTTTACCAGCTGACAATAATACTTTCCAGTGTGGAAGTTGCTATGGTGGAAACAAGACTCAATGTCAGCTATTTTCATTGTCAAGAGGAGGATGGAGAAAACAAAAATGTCAGAAGCTACAAAGGAATCATTGTTTTCTGTGAAGCTCAGGTCAGCTTTTTCTAGGGAAAACATGATGACTGTTAGCCATAATTCAGTCACTCATTAACTGTTTTAAATGTCAGTAAGCATGGGTCAAAGACATATATATATCTATATATATATATATATATATATATATATATATATATATATATATATATATAATATATATATATATATATATATTAGTAATTATATATATATATAATTACTAAACTATAGTACACTATTATCTTCTAGACTACAGTAGTCGTCCTGCTTTTTATATATATATATATGCTATTTGTAAATAGCAAATTACAATGTAAGAACCAAAGTGTCAGCAGCTTATCTCTCACAAGTCTTTGCTTTTCTTATAAAGGGTGTAGATCCAAATATGAGGTTACAGTGTTAAGATATGAGTCACATGCCATATAATTACTAAACTATAGTACACTATTATCTTCCAGACTACAGTAGTCGTCCTGCTTTTTAAATCTTTTTTTGTTTTAAGGTGGATTGATGTTTATTTAATTATAAAAATGATGGTTTTCTTAATTAGAATTAGATAGAGTTTAAAAGCTCATGAAAAGTGTTAAAGGAATGCATGAGCGACACCAGAGCTTTAAGAAAACGTCGTGTACAGAGTCCTCTCATTTACATGCTTGTGCTGGTGCTTCCTATCGTTGCCATTTCTTTTTTGTTTTGAGCTGACTCTTTTTGCCTGGCTACATTTTTGTCTTGCATCCCTTTGTTGAGAGAACTGCAATGATGACTGATGATGAGATAGGATCCCAGGACTAAATGCAAGGAAGATAAAGTAAAGCAGCGATGTAAAATAAATGAGCCTTATTCCCCTCATGAGATAAGTTTCAGCATTTTGTGAGATGTCATGTGGAGTATATCTCTTTAAAAATATCCGTTACCCACGGCTTAAAGTTTGTGTGCATCACATTTCATTTCCGTAAGTTGCAGTGAGCAAACAAAGGCTGAAGCACAATTGAGATACTCTTTGTAAGCTATCGGAAATGTGTTTTTATGGTCTTCTGGAGGCTCCTTATCTAAGCCACCAGTGACTGGAAAGGTCCTAATGGACACAAGCCAGCAACTGAAATTGAAAAACACATATCTGCTAATAATACTCTCCCATAGCAGGATTCATTTTATTAGCCTCAGATAACAGCTCACTCAAACACAATCATAAATTTCTTTTGCAATTTATGGAGGTTATTCAAGTGCTTTGACTAACAAAGGCCTTTAAAGGAACACTGACAGGGCTTCCATTGTCCTGCAGATATAATAGAAATTTTATTATGCTTTTATGACTGTACTTTGTGTTTGTTGAAAAAAATGGGGGCCGTCAAGTGTAATGTTATCTGGGTAATAAACTGTTGTAATAATAGTGATAGTTTTTCAGTAATTTAAGAGCTATGCATGCAGTGCTGCATTTCCCAAGGAGGGAAAATAACTTAATAAATTTATCAGTTTAACCTCTGCGGATGGTTATGGTAAGTCAGACGTAACTTACCGGAACTTTATATATATATATATAAAATTTAAAAAAAATTCCCTTCTCACCCACCGCGGGTGGTTCTTATCCTCTGAACTCGGGTCCTCTACCAGAGGCCTGGGAGCTTGAGGGTCCTGCAGTATCTTGGCTGTGTCAAGAACTGCACATTTCTGGACAGAGATGTCTGATTTTGTTCCTGGGATCTGTTGTAGACATTGCTCCAGTTTGGGGGTGACTGCCCCGAGGGCCCCAATGACCACAGGCACCACTGTGGTCTTCACCTTCCAGGCCCTCTCCAGTTCCTCCCTGAGGCCCTGGTATCGCTCCAGTTTCTCGTGCTCCTTTTTCCTGATGTTGCAGGAAAAATAAATTACTCCAGTTTCATATTATCAACCGTAGAAGCAAATTCTGAGAAATGTCCTCTTGTCTTTTCTACACCTACTCACACTTATCCATCCCCATGCTAGCATGTGCCTGCTGAGTACCTGATGAGTGCTTCCCCAAGTGGAGCCGGACAGAGATAAAAAGCACAAAAGTAAAAGCAAATTCACTAACGTGAACTTTGCTTTTAGCTTTTCCAAAAGAAAGATCAACAGTCCACTTTAACTGTGCTGGTCACATTCAAACATCTCTCTCCGTTGATTGAGAGTCAGTGACAGCTATAAGATCAGTAATGTGTGGCATCCGTCAAGCACATAGCCGTCCAGTTCTGTGTCACATATGTTTCTTTCATGTCGGAGGAACTGCTCATTCAGCAGTGCATTCAGCCATTGTCATCCCATACCACTTATATGTGTGTTTGAAAGCTCTTTTGTTTGCTCAGCTGAAGGTTGAAGACCCTTCCTGGCAGGGAAATGTAAACAGGAGGGCAATGACTGGTAGTTGTTAATTTGCCACCTTGACATGTTGCAGGAAAGGGTGCGTTAATGAATAAATTCCTTTTCATTTGAAGAACCACCGTTTTTTCTATTTTGTGTATTGCTGAAAATAAGCACTAGAAATACGTGATACTGATACGATACAAACTCCAAAGATTATTCATTCTTTGTTTGTCTTTATGCCCTAGGTGTCATTCGAACGCAAGAACTGCTGGATCATGAGACGACCCCACACTACTGGCTCACGGTCTACGCGATGGATCGTGGTGTGGTGCCCCTCTCAGCTTTTGTTGAGGTTTACATAGATGTACAGGACGTCAACGACAATGCACCGCAGACCTCTGAACCTGTCTACTACCCGTCTGTCATGGAGAACTCCCCAAAAGACGTGTCGATCATCCAGATTAACGCAGCTGATCCTGATTCGAAGGCCAGTGACAGGCTCAGCTACAAGATCACCAGTGGGAATCCACAAGGCTTCTTTGCCATCAACACCAAAACCGGTAAGACTTTTGGAAAAATTAAGACTATTGTTCACCAGTGGTTGCTGTCCCTTGCCGCAGGAAGCTACCTCCATTCTTTAGCCAGCTACTGATGTGTTTAAAAGTTAGCGGCCAGCGCAGGAAAATGAGACTATTTACTTGCGTTAGTTTTGGAGAGTCTAGTGCAGGGGTGTTGAACTCCAATCCTCAAGGGCAGGTGTCCTTGAGGATTGAGGACACTTTGAGATATGTCTCTGCTGCACCACACCTGAATAGAATAATTTGGTCATTAGCAAGTCTCTGGAGAACTGATCTACACAAGGAGGAGGTAATTCAGCCATTTCATTCCAGTGCGTTGTACCTGTGGCACAACTAAAAACTGCAGTACAGCAGCCCTTGAGGACTCGAGTTTGACACCTGTGGTCTAGTGGACTAGCATACGTAGGCTCACCCACAGGATTACTTTCTTCCTCTGCTAGCCCAGATAAGATAATGCTAACATTGGGTAAGCTGGTGTTAGCATTGGCTACCTCCTTGTGACAGCAGACTGTATCCGTGCCAAAGCCAGCTACTGATCTGATTAATAACAGGCTGGCACTGTTTACTAAGTGGCCTGGGTTAGCAAATGAGAAGGAGAGTGCTTAGTTGCGTTAGCTTTTGAAAGGCTGGTGACGAGCATCGATTGTTAGCTATCTGCTGACACAGAAGCTGCAATTGAGAGCTAACTTCAGCTCCGTGTTATACAATATGTTTACACATATTGCATGACAAACATTTTTTATGACAAACCTAGATTCGTGGATGATTGGTGTACGCGTGCTGGTAGCCAGCCTATTGAACACTAGGTGCACAGTAAGTCGGCACATTAGTGGTGAGACAGCACCATGCTCTCAGTGTCAGCTTGTAGACTCATAGTCATGGTTTTATGGAATCTGGGGTAAAGACGTGAAAAGCAGACATTTCCAAGAATCCATGTACATGTGGTTTAATTTATTAATAACTACACTATCTTAAACTACAAATGTCACATCTCCTAATTTCTGTGTCAGTGGGCGTATCATCACTTGAGATGTCCACAAATAAAATGAATCTGAAATAGCTCTTCAGCATCTTTAAAGATCTTGAATGCAGCGGACATAATGAGCTCTTGACTGTGTGTGACATGGATCACAACTACGGGCGACAGGCATCAGTCAAGCTGCTGATTGTTTGCGTTTAAAACTTTGTGCCATCTGAGCAGTGTATTTTTACCCACAACAAGAGTGGGCTGAGCCGTGGGTGGATTTTTTCACTCTGCCACTCTAAAGTGTGTTCTCACAAGGTTCTGTGGAAGTGATGTCACTATTAATATTTCAATGAGTTCTTTTAAAGCAGATCAGGCTACTTGTGTTTTGTGATAGAGCAGGAAAAAGAGCTCTTGATAGATGGAAAGTGAGGCTTCATGTACGGACAGACTTCTCTGATTTTTAAAGCTATGGAGAAGATTTGTAATTTATTAAGACTACTGGCTAGTTTAGAAAACATTAGCCTTTCCTGCCTAACCCAAAGTAGAATTGATATGATACATTAAGTGTCACAATGTCTCATAAACCCACCTGATTTACCTTTGTATTGACTTAAAAGTTGGGCTGAAAAGAAGACTTCTATCTCTATCTCAGATTATTTATGAAAAGAAAACAGATTAATCGGAATTATTAACAATTACATTTAAAAGTTATCAAACCTACAGTCAAGAATCAAGTTTACAACGCTCTAAAAAATTGTATTTTACTGTGAATTAGAAATGTTTTTTTTTTTTTACATTGCATAAACCAGCTCATGCTACTGATTCAATGAAACAAAAGTGAACAAATAAACTAAATCTACACACAACTTATCAACTACAAAACAATAAAGTTCTATCAATCAAAACTGACTCTTGGAATATAAAGTTCATAGTCTCTCAAAACCCTTAAAGTTACAAGTAAGGCCAAATGTATTAATTATTGATCTTTTAATTTCACCAGCACATTTCTGCTGACTGGAAGTAAGATTATGGCTTTTGGCATGGCCCAGCCAGACTCCTGACCTGAATCTGACAGTTTTTTGCGCTATTTAAATCAGTCTTGAAATACATGAACAGAATACTTTATTCTACAGATTTATTGTGTTTACTAGTTCTTACATTCAACACTCAATGTGCATTTACAAGAAATAAAAATGAAAAATCTGGGTGAAGTAAAATTTTTCCAATTTCTTCTACGTTACAAACATAATAGCTACAAACTACTTACGGTTAAAGTATTTTTGACTGCAAAAATAGAAAATTTTACTTGTCATCTTCATAAAGAGACTAAGCATTTGCATGTACTTCAAATTGTTCAAGGTTTAATTTGGGTATACCTTTTCAGGCGTTTTTGGAGATTTAGGGGGCGAGTGTTAAGGAGTTAAAAACCAAAGATAAATCATCTACCGTAAATACAAGTGTAGAAAGCTGCTCACATTTTTTTTATTGATTATCCACCCATCCATTATCATACACACTTAAAATATTAGAGTTGCCAGGGGTGCTGGTGCCTTTCTCCAAGTATGGGGTCCAATGGATTCAGTGTTGTTAAAAACAAAGATAACTTTACTCAACATTAGAAAACTTGGCAGAAACCTAACAAATTTGGAAGACCAAAACACATATTTCCTCAGTAGCAAGAACTTCTTAGGAAGACTTCACGAGGAACTCTTCAGCCAATTAGAAGTGGTGGTGCATTTAAAAAAAAAAAAAGTTTGACCACAAAATCTGCACTTCTTTCACATCCACTCAGAGAATCAACTGTATGTGGCTGCAAAGTATAAACAGCAACCTTCATAACTGTAGTAGTGTTTGTTATATAAGCAAAGCGGCTTGGCAGTTTGGAAGGTCAAAAAAACATGGATTCTTTTCAGATTCTCTTTTAAGAGACGCTCTAAAGGCTAATCCAAAGCTTCCAGTGGGGTTAAATCTGAAGTGGGCAGGAGGACAAAGAGGCTGCGCAGATAAAGGTAAACAAAATTACGAGCTGTGTGCTGCAGCCCATTTGGTTGAATACAGCTGATCAGGAAGCTGAAAGAAGGAGGGGTGTGTGTGGAGGAGTGGGGGGTTGCAGAGCAGAGCAGCAGTTGCTCCAGTTTGTCCTCGCTGATGTGTGTGGTCTTGTTTCTCAAGGTAGTCACATCAACAAGCTGGAGTTATTTTTGTTGGAAATGGCGATGGGAATTTTCGGACCAAATAAGGATTCATTATTTAAGTTACCTCCCAAAACAGACTTGCAGAGATTCTGCACTCTCGACTGACAGGCAGGGAGAAAAAAATAAATAAATAAATAAAATAAAGAATAAAGAGAGTGAGGACTTTCCAGTTTGCACATATGGTTTGTGTTCTGTCTGCATGCATAAAAAAGCTCAGCTTAAGCATGCTGATAAAAGTAATAAATGTATATATCTGCTAAAAAAAAAAGCAATTTCAAAGCTTTTGAGAAACATTTTCAGGTTTTTCTGTTTATATTGAGAACAACACAGGATAAAATGAGATTATGGCATGAACAATTATTGACTCATAACTATCCACAGATAGATCCATTGTGTTTGGATTTCTTTGTTAGTGCTAACAGATTTTCAAAAACCATCACTTATTCAGCAGTCAGATGAAGGTTCCTACCCCACATATAGCTTTCAGATTATGCAATGAAGTCCCTGTTCACTTCCACCGTAGGCAAAATCTCTTTACAGTGAAAATTTTAAATCTACTAAATCTTTTATGACTGTCAGAGGAGCTCGCTGAACAAAGGAAAAAAGAAAACATAACATAGAAGCAGAAGGATAACGCCTATTCATGCATGTCAAAGCATGTTTAAACTTTTATCAGCGGGATTCCAGCGATGCTCACAGCAAGTTTGACTAACGCTGGTTCACAGAGAAGAAGCCTCACCAAATCACTGCTCTCTCTGAGATTTAGTTCTTTTTTTTTTTTTTTTTTTTTTTTTTTTTTTTTTTTTTTTTTTTTTTTTTTTTTTGCGAGTCTGCTGCATGGAGCAGAGTGTTGGAAAACTAAAGAAGACAGTAACAAGTGCGAGATTTACTTTACAACAGGAATTTAGAGACAAAGCTTTTTCACGTTTAGTCACCTTATTTGTAAAGGTTGCTGGGCTGTGTGCAACTTAATCTCAGTAGAAGTAAAGATGTTCTGTGAAGCCTTGCTAGTTAACATCAGAGAACAAACTTCACCATGACGACCATGGAGTACGCTAGTGTTAACTTCTAAAACTGAATGTCTCCTAGCAACCCGACCAACATCTGAACACGGTGGAGGCAGCATCATGCTGTGGGTAAGCTGTAATGTCTGCTGGGAAGTGAAAGGCGATCAGAGCTATCGTTCAATGGTTTTATCAAAAGAGTTAGAAGGTCTAGTTAAAGTGCAGGCTTTGACTTTTATCTGTTGTGTTGCTGCTGATTCTCTGAATTTCTCCACTGAGGGACAAATTAAGGAGCCTGTGGTTCTGTTCTGTTCTGTTCTGTCCCGTTCTGTTCCTACTCCTGTGGCAGGAAACTCGTCATCCACTGTGACTGAACTTAAATCTGGTATATAAGGCTGCATTTAAAGCTGGTAGCGACAGCTGCAGTTTTGTTGACAGGTGCCTCTCCAAAGTAATGACTCAAGAAAGCTGAATTCAGATGCACATGATAATTTTCAGCTACTTGTAAAAGGCAGATTGCAAACCACACATCCTGTTCCTCCACTTCACAATTACTTGTCTTTAGAGACAATCCCCCCCCAAAATGGGGATATGAATACTTTTGCAAGGCACACTGTGGACTCACTTCTCCCACAAAACAGGGAATGATTACAATCATTTTTAAAAATGAATTTAAATCTGGGGTATTAAGCAACGTAAAAATAGTCCCAACACTTCCCCACATCATAAAGTCTATGAAGCAATCTCGCCGCATATTACGCGTTTATTTATTTATTTTTTCTTTTGGAAAAGATTTAAATTTACTACATGCGTCTC